CCCCCATTCATTAATTTTTGCACTTTTCTCCCCTCCCAACCCTCCCCCATAGTACACTACCCTATTGGAAAAGTAAAAGAAAAATTCTTTCATTGTTTTACAATGCCTCCCCCCAGGTCCACTCCACCATGTAGCCTTCACTCTAGACTCCTGTCATGACAAAAATATCTAATCACATATCCTTTTTAAACAGTTTTCTCCTCATCTGTTTCAATATAGTATACATTATTGAACCCATCTTTCTCAGTCTCTCCCCAATCCCAAGGTCAGTCCTGTTTTACAATAGTGGCACCATGCAGTATTTGTCCTTTTGTGACTGAGGTATTTCACTCAACATAATGTCCTCCAGGGTCACCCATTTTGAATAATATTGCATGAGTTCCTTGTTTTTCAATGCAGCATAGTATTCCATTGTGTGAATATACCACAGTTTCTCTATCCATTCGTTTGTTGATGGACACTTAAGTTGTTTCCAACTCCTTGCTATTGTGAACAAAGCAGCCATAAACATGGGTGTGCATATATCTGCTTGGATGTCAATTATGGTCTCTTTGGGGTATATTCCCAGTAGTGGAATTGCCGGGTCAAATGGTATCTCTATTTGCAACTTTTTGAGAAAGCGCCACACTGACTTCCACAGTGGTTGCACCATTTTACACTCTCACCAACAGTGAATAAGGGTTCCAGTCTCTCCATAACCTCACCAGCATTTTTTGCTTGCTGTTCTGTTAAATTTTGCTGTTCTGACTGGGGTGAGATGATATCTCTTAGTTGTTTTAATTTGCATCTCCCTTAGAGCTAGGGATTTTGACCATTTCTTCATGTGCTTGTTGGCCATCTGAATGTCTTCTTTGGTGAAGTGTCTGTTCATATCCTGTGCCCATTTTTCTATTGTATTATTTATTTTTATCTTGTTATGGTGCTCAAGTATTTTATAAACTTTGGATATAAGTCCCTTATCTGATATGTCATTACCAAGTACTTTTTCCCAGTGTGGCTTCCCTGTTTACCCTGTTGGAGGAGTTTTTGGATGTGCATAGGGATTTCATTCTTGGAAGATTCCATTCATCTACTTTATCTTCTCCTGGTTGTAGGTCCCATACCTTTTCAATCTATATGCAAAACAGATAATTTGGGAATCAGGGCTTTATGAGAAGGAAGAAGGTAGAAGACTCATCAACAACCTACAATATGCAGATGACACAACCTTGCTTGCAGAAATAGAGGAGGACCTGAAGCACTTGCTGCAGAAGGTCAAAAACTGTAGTCTTCAATATGGATTGAAGCTCAACATCAAGAAGACAAAAAATTCTCACCACTGGGCCAATTGGTGGCACCATAATAGATGGAGAATAGATTGAGGTTGTTAAGAATTAACAAAATAAAAAAAAAAGAATTACATCTTGCTTGGCTTCAGAATCAACAGTCTTAGCACCAGCAGTCGGGGGCGGGGGGGGAAGCCAATTGCATTGGGAAAATCTGCTGTCAGGGAGGACCTCTCCAGAGTACTGAAAAGTAATGATGTCAATCTAGAGGCCATGGTCTTCACAATTACTTCCTATGCATCAGAGAGCTGGACAATGACTAAGAATGACAGAAAAAGAATTGACGCCTTCAAATTGTGGTGCTGGAAAGGAGTCTTGAACATATCATGGACTACCAAGAAAACAAATAGGTCTGTGTTGGAGAGGGCAAAATCAAGTTTCTCCTCGGAAGCTAGGATTTTGAAGCTCTATCTCACATACTTTGGGCACGTGGACAGGAGAGACTGGCCCTTGGAGAAGGACATTATGATCAGAAGGGTGGAGGGACAGCACAGGAAGACCCCGGATGAGATGGATTGGTACAGTAGCTGGGGCAATGGAGGTTGGTGTGTCAGAATTAGTGAGACTGGCTCAGGATAGCGCAGTCTTCTGCTGTACATTGGGCTGTCATGGGCTGCAGGTGACTGTACAGCACATAACAACAACTACCAACCAGTATTATTTAATGAATGATGTCCGTTCAATATGGTCTATACTGTCTCTCACCTCTTCGCCCACAGGTCATAGTTATCCACAGCTTCTCCAATGCCCATTTATTATAGGTCTTGGTTTGGGATATGGAGAAGGACTGCTCAGTTACCATGTCTTTTACCAGGTGGTACATTTAATTCATCCGCTTCCTAAACAACATGCCTCTGGAAACTCATTGAACTTTGATAAATGATGATAGTTATAGAAAGGCTTCAGGCCTTTTTTTAGCTAATAGGGTCACTGTGAGTTGTGCTCGACTCGATGGCAATCGACAACAACAAATTTAATCCAGCAAGTTAGAGTTTGACTTCTGATCTTAGTGGAGTTTTATCATCCTGCTTGACCAGTAAGAAAACTGATATTGACCCATATTTACTCTATTTTTCAGTTGATTCTCTCTGTAGCTAGAAAGAGAAAGGGAAAGAAAAAGAAAAAAAAGATTTTCAGAAGAGACTCTGAAAATTGCACTAACACAGTTAGAAGCCACAACAAAAGGAGATGAAAAGAGGTGAGCAGAATATTTCAAAGGGCAGCTTGAGAAGACAATGCAAAGTACTAGAGTGGTAGAGAGATGACTTTGTCTCATAGTGTCTAGGCATATTGCTAGGAGAGGATGTTCCTTAGAGAAGAACATCATGCTTGGAAAGGTGGAGGGATGGCAAAGGAGAGGAAGACCCTCAACGAGGTTGACTGTGACTGCAGCAGTGGTTTTAAGTGTGTCAGAGATTGTGAGGATGACTCTCGATAGGACAATGTTCAAATCAATATTCGTAGGGTCCCTATGAGTTGTACTGGTTTCAGTGGTGCCTAACAACACCAGTGGCTATGGTGGCGTAGTCTGTAGTATGTTGTGCTGCTAACCAATAAGCCATATTTCTCTGGTTCAAATCCACCCACTTCTCTACAGTAGAAAGATGGGGGGAGGGGGTGTCTCACGCCCTCAGAAACCTGATGGAGGATCATTATGAGTCAGAATTGACTTGACAGTAGTGAGTTTGAGGGGAATTTTCTGTGTGTGTTTTAAGTTGACTGAGAATGCAGTAAAGAGAAGGTGCAACTAGTATGTTCAAAACTTAAGTCCTAGCTTAAAACTAAAATTTTGCTCCTGAACTTAGCAAAATGCTTTGCTTTTTCTGTGCCGAGGCATCGCTTGAAAATGTTAACCAAGATTGAATGTTTATGCAGAATTGATCTTATACATTGTATATCATTAAATAAAAATATAATAAACATTTATGGTTAACGTTTTTATTTTTTAACATTCATATAAATGAAAATGCATGTAAATCCTATCCTATTTGTGTAACTAGCTGTTCTGGTACAGGCAAAATAAAGACAATTTCCTTTATTTTGAGCAACAAGCTATTTCAGAGTGATACAGCATTTGTACTACTTAGATATTATTAACTATAATTAGTAGTATATTAAAATGATACTGATGGATTTAGGAATAAATTACCTTTCAGCAAATGATTCCCAAAATAAAGCAATGTGGAGCAACATTTTTTCCTGTTTCATTTTTGTAATAGGGCAAAAGAACACTTCTACCTGTGTTTTTAAAGACTGAGCCATAATTATTTTAAGATTTTTTACCTTACATTTGAATATGTAAAAGGCCATAGTTATACTAATTACTGCTCGGAATTAAATTAAGCTACATTTAAATGCACATCCTCGTCTAGAAAAATTGAAACAATAGTGTACTAATATTAGACGCAAACTAACCATCTGCACAAGTGACTAGGTGCCATAAGGCGTGATTTCTAACTTTGGCTCTGGCTCATTAGACAAGCACTCAGATGCTAACACACACTGTTTCACAGTCTCTGGAACCATCAGTAAAACAGATACTGAAATAGACATTGAAAGATAACCTTTTGGGAGTAAAACCAACATCTAAATGTAGAGAATTTGTTTGTGTGTTTTTTTCTTCTGAATTCCAAGTGAAAAGCTTCCATAGAGTCCACCAGTTCATTTTCTCCCCCCTCGCCATGTCATTTTGACTTGTGAATGGAAACTGGTATGAGGCGGGACTGAGGTCCGAGAACAAATTCTCACTGTGAAGCCCGTACCATTTGATGTTGATCTTCCTAACGTAGCCAACTTTTATGCCTGAGGGGGGGAAAAAAATGCATTTTTAAATACAGGCTAATGTAGTCATGAGGAGGAGTTTTCTAGGGAATTCCTTAGCCTATTTGATATTTTTTTTATGCTGTGCAAGCTCTTTCTGGACATGTCTGTAGAAACGTTAGATAACACACTCAGGAGACACAATAATAAAAGCCCTGCAGACATAATCCTGATAGTCATCATTGTCAGATGCTGTGGGATGTATTTCAATTCACAGTGACCCTATATGACCGAGTTGGACTGCCCCATAGGGTTTTCTCAGCAGCCTTGGTGGTGCAATGATGAAGTAAATGGCTGCTATCTGAAAAGTTAGCAACCACCGAGTGGCTCTGCCAGAAAAAGACCTACCCATAAGATGCTCTCTTCTACTCTCATTGCTGTCAAGTCAAAACCAACTCACGACTGACACTCCAGTGGGGTTTTGGAGGTTGTCAGTCACATGGAGGATTTTGCCCATCTTTCTCCCTCAGAGCCCCTGGTGGATTCAGAGAGGAGCAGCTTTTGGGTTAGCGGTGCAGCTTCCTATGGGCTGTGCTGCCCTAGGAAACCATCTGGCTGGTTCCTGTCACACCAGGTTCAAATGTTGGCTCCATGGCAGCTAACTACAACAAGAAGCCTTCATGAAGATGATGGTCAGGGCTTTCTCCCCACAAGCTGCTGTCTGGGTTGGAAAAGCACACCAGTCAGTTGGTAGTGCCTTTTGTGCTGAGGCTCCTTCATTAAAGCACGGCATATCTAATTTTTAACTTTCCCCTTGAATGTCAAGAAATTAGTCCTCCTTTGGGATTGCTCTATTCAACTGTGCATCAAACATTTAGAACTCATGAGCTGAACTATAAAATCAAAGCAAGCCACTTACTTGAAATCTAGATGTTCAATTAGCACATGTCCATCTATAGAAACAAAACTCACTGTTACTTATCTGAACACTATAGAGTGCTTTAGTTTTTTAAAAAATAGTTAAAGAAATGTATGAGTGCTTCAACATTGAACTTACATTTGCCTTCCGAATTGCGACATATGACTAAATTCTGCTCAGCAATATCAATGACTTCCAGTTCTTCTCCAGGGGTTATTGGTAAATCAAATATTCCCTTTCTTGAATTACAGGAACGTGCCACTGCTGTGTTGATGACAATAATCTCTTTGTCATACTGAAATGAGAAAGTACTAATCAAAACCTCGCCTGTGTGGTTTTTATAATTTTCCACTGTAACAAAATTAAGGGAGGACATAATAAAGTAACCTGAAAATAAACCCAACATATTAGATACTGTTTAAATAACATCTAAGGGGGTAGAAAGGAAATAATAGCAAACTATTCAGTGAAAGGAGAGCAAGGGGGGAAATAGCAAAATGCCACCAGCTTACATTTGGTACAATTATACATTCAAAATGTTTTCACACCCATTATCTAATTGTACTAGAATGAACCTGTGTGAATAATAAGGTTGTAGTGTGTGGCTATGTTAAGTACTGTGTGGGAGTATGTTAACTGTTCCAATAATAAAGTTACCAACAGACCAAAAAGAGAGAAGCAAATTCTTTGAAGTCTGCATGGTGCCTTACAATTTACAATGTTCTTTCATACCTACTATTTGTAGATGGCCCTGTCTTTCAATCCTACCTCCCCAGGCTGTTGTTGTTGAGTACTATCAGAGTTGGAATCGACTCATAGCTGATCCTCCCTTGGGTTTTCAGAGGCTGTAAATTGCATAGAAAGAGACTGACCATCCTCTGGTGAAGGAACTAGTGTATTCGAACCATGTGCGTTTTGGTTGGTAGTGCAGCTCCTTCCCTCCTAAGCCACCAGAGCTCCTACATTCTTGGTAGGCTTATACATTCCTATAATGCTTATAGCAGGTGTACTTTAAGGTACCTGTAATGGAGTGTGTGGGCAAATTCTCAGCTCCCTCTTGTGACCAAAAGTAGGCATTTATGAAACAACTGATGTGAAGTTTAATTTATGAGTTCAAGGGATTCCAAAGAAATCCAGCTCAGGTAATATTAAAGAATAGAATAATATACAAAAGGAAATAGACTTTCTTCCACATGACATGCCCACAAATTTAGTTGGGGGTGGAGAAGAGATCAACAGAAGGCTGTATGGGACATTTTGACCAGCAATTACTACACTTCTATTTTCAGCTAATCAAATAACATCATGCTTTACAGGTGATCATTTTATATAAATTTGTAGACTAGAAACATCAATCAATCTTTGACCAAAAAAGAACTGTCAGTGGTTATAAGAGATTGTTGTTGTTGTTAAGTGCCGTCGAGTTGCAGGCGACTCATAGCAACCCTATGAACAAAAGTCTTGGACACTTCCTGTATAACTTTTGTCCTTTCTCCAGGTTCATAGGGTTTTCAGAGGCAAGCTATTATGGAAGTAGATGCCACTCCTGCTTCCAATGTAAGAGATTAGAAAATATTAATGTTTTTGGATGTTTAAATATTTTTATTCCACTACGCAAAGGACATATGAAGTTAAGACAGGTAACCTTATCCTCAAGGACTCATACGTTAGTATAATGAATAAGTAACTACACTAATATTAATATTTCAGACAAGCTTGAGAGATTTGCTCTGAAAGGAAATGTCATTTTTAAGACAGTTTTATAACTTTATTTAATAATCATCTATTAGTTTTCATTCACATTGACCATCTGTGGATTTTTTCAAAGTGGTGACAGGTACATGGGTAACCAGTGTATACAGCTTGTTTGGGGAATCTTCATCCTCATTACATTTTCTGGACAATGATATGCAGATGAGGTATGGGACATTCCTTATTCCTTTGCCCCAGGTGGCTTTGTTAAGCCTGGTGTCAAAGTGAACATCTGGTGTTCCCATCTGCTTCATGGCAAATTTCTGGATCTCCTTGATTGCCCGAGGGGCACACTTCTTAAATCCCACTCCACAGATGCACTTAGGAATGTTGATGGTGTACTCTCTACCACTTTGTTGATGGCAGAATAGCTTTTCTTCTTCTCATCCTTCTTCTTTTTCATCCTTCTTTGTGGGACCACCGCACTGGGACCAGGCTGGAAAGGAAGTGGGCTAAGGACTGTGGAAGGACAATGTCTTTAATTTGGAAGTTTATCCAAGCCTTTCCAAAGTTCCCTGCTGTCAAATGCTTTAAGTCTAAGCTTCTGAATATAGCATCTAAAGCTCTTCACATCATAATTCTTGCTGCTTTTTTCTATTTAATCTCTTGATTTTCACCCTGCACTTTGTGCTTTGCCTGCAAACTGCTTACCGTTCTACCCCTTGAAAGAACTTCTGCTTATATGTTTAGGTATTTACTTGGGCAGTTTCTATTTCTACTACATCCTTGATAAATAACTCCATCTTAAAAAACAAAACAAAACAAAAACACTCCAACGCAAACAGCTTTTGTTCAGGTATCCAGATCCACCCCCACCATCTCAAAAGAGAGAGTCAGAATTTACTTGAGTGGAAGGAAATACAAAACACAAGCAAGAGGTCATCACAAAATGATCAAGGCACAAGAGACTCTGGGAGAGGCAAAAGAGTTAAAGTTAGCAAAGGTCAATCCTATTACACACACATTCTGACAACAGCAGTACTAACAATCTGTAGTACATAGAGAGACATTCAAGCTGAACAAAGGTAGGGACACAAAGGCGACCACACCCATGAATATAAAAATATGGATGTGTGTGTATGTATGTATGTATGTGTTGTGTGTGTATTAGAAAGATGATATTTCTACATGTGTATTGATATGTGCTACAAATATATCCATCAATAGTGGATCCTACAGAGGGCAGAGCTGTGAAAACCTTTTAGCCACAATCAGACAACATGAGAGAATGAGTCAGGGGGCCAACGGGCCTAGGGGCCCAAGGCTGTAGTCTTAGAGGACACTAGAGTCAACTGACACGACAATTCACAAAGATAATGGTCTGCATCCTACTTTGATGAGTAGTAACTGTGCTCTTTAAAGTTTATGAGTGCCTATCTAAGGTGCAACTATTGGTTCCTCCCTATCAGAAATAAAAAAAAAAAAGAATGCAAGGGGAAAAAAAAATACCAGGACCACACGAACCCCGACCTCCACAGCCTTGAGCCCAGAAGAACTGCCTGGTGTCCAGCCACCACTGCTGACTGCTCTGGAAGGGATCGCAAGAGGAGGTCACAGATAGAATGAGAGAAAATAGGGAATGAAATGAAAAATAATATTAGGCTCACTGGCCTACTAAAGACTGATGCAGTTCTTAAGACTATTGTTCTTAGATACCCTTTAGGACTGGAACTGTGCTCACCTCTGTGGCCCAATTTGCAGCCAAATGAAGTTAACCTATATAGTCAACCAAAACGCTGGGCAGGTATGCACTTATGGGAACAATCAATCATACAAGATGAAGCGGCAGCATTTGCCTAGAAATGAAGCTCAGAAGTCAGAAAGGGATAGGTAAGCAGGACCAAGGGGACTGGTAACAGAGCAAGGGAGTAGAAGGCTGATGTTATATGGCAGGGTTTGCACTCAAAGTTAGAAAACAAACTGTGTATTAACTGTTAAATGGAAATCCAATTTGCTCTGTAAATGTTCACCCAAATTGTTAAACACCAAAATTAAAGTCAAGTAGGGTGTGTTGTTTTGTTTTGGTTTTTTTTTTAAATAAAGATTTTTTAAACTTTGGAATAATGGAGGCTATTGGACTCTTGGTGACAAAATAAACATCAAGGGACTAACTTCAGACGTTGCTGCCTTCATTCAGAAGTTAATCTTCTTTTGTTTGTTTCATCTGTCATTCATCCATTCACCCAACATTGCTGTGTGTCCAATCTGATGTTGAGAGCTGGGGAGCAAATATGAATGAGACAGAATCTCCCCTTGAAAAGGAATGAAAAAGTTTAGTTCTGAATTTGCGCATGTGGAGAGAGAGAGAGAGAGCTATGAGCGCTATACTGAAATTCATCTGTGCTGTTCAAGGTAGAAGGAGCGCTGGTTGCCTACTGGCTGAGGAGTTGTGCTGCCTACCCAGATAGATGGCTCGCATCTCCCAGCTGCTCTTCAGGAGAAAGACGGATAATCTCCTCCCATGTGATTTACAGCCTCTGACAACTCACTGGAGGGTCAGCTATGAGTGAGTTTTTACTTTACAGCAATGTGTTATTTGCATTTGTTTTTTCTAAAGTACAAGATATATGCATAACATATGATATAAGGCTATATGCAAAATAGGCATATAGACTAAGCTGATGGAGTAATTTTTCCTGGAGGAATTTGGACTTGATTTGAATATAGAGACTTAAAGAACAATGTAGGGGTTTTTTCCTCAACAGAATAAGCAGTGTGGTAATACTGGCAAGTATCTGGAAAAAAGAAAAACACCAGTTTTTAAGGAAAGGATTCTATCACAAGAAAACAGAGAATACCCCCTGTATAGGATCTTTTAAAAAGAGTTGTTAATATTTCTATTTTTTTTAAATGTCATACCTCAAATCTGAACATACCTCAAATCTTTTTCTAAAAAGTTTTTCTTCTTTGTCCATTTTCTTTTCCAAGTTTTGGTTTCTGGTTCTGAAGAAATTAATAGGAGGTAATCTAACAAGAAATATGCAGGTAAGGTTAAAGTATTTTATCAAAATTCTGAGTTTCCAAGTCTACAAAGTTATTCTATTTCAGTATAAACTCAAGTATAATTATATATATTCATAGCACTAGACTAGAGATTGCCAGAATAGCTGAGCAAAGTGAGAAATAGCAATTACCTTTCCTCCACAATTAAAAATGTGTGTATTTTTAATTGTAAGACAGTAATATGGAATAATTTAAAATCAGTCTAATAACTTAAATAAGAAGCTTCTTTGGATCAGATTAGAAGAGTAATCACACTGTAAAGCACACAAACTCAAATTTATAAACATTCTCACTCACCTTCAGACTAATTAACACATCAGTAAATACAAATAAAAATCTCAATCTTGTTGCCATTGAGTCACCCATAGTGACTCTTTGTTGGATTTCTGATGCTATAAATCTTAACGGCAGGAGACAGCCCATCTTTATCCAGGGAAGCTGGCAATAGTTTTGGTTAGTATCTCAACATGCTGTCAACTATGCCAGGACTATTATTTTGTGGTTTTCTAATTAACCTAAATTAAAAAATCAGAAATGTGTATAACTCTATCAGAGAACTATTCTGTTTGTTGAGTTATTTTGGAGGATGGAATTTGGGAGACAAAATAGATGCCACAAAATACACAAGGGTTTCAGCACATCACAGTGGTTAACCTGCCAGGAGAAGCTGATTAGATTTTTTCTCTTCCCTTTTCCTTTCTCCTACTATTCACATGGGGTTAGAGCTGCCTTTTAGCCATTTCCACATCAGCCGAAGGAAAAAATTCCTTGTTTGAACTAGAGTATCTCCCCTGTTTCTTACTGTTTAAAACTACAGCTGTCATGTTTCAGGTTATCACCACTTCTCTGAAACGTCATCTTTCTTGTGTCTCTCCTCATCGATTTGTACCTGCCTCAAGTTGTCTCAAATGTAACTGATTTTGCCCCTGTCTCATTGAAAACTTTTTTAAAGGGGCTCTCTGCTATCTAAAGGATAAGATTTTACTTCATTAGCATGGTACATAGGGAATTTATAATCTGGAGCAAATATATCTCTCTAAGTTTATCAACAGAGAACAATCAGAAGTCCAGGCTGATTTCAGAAGAGGTCGTGGTACTAGAGATACTGTAGCTGATGTTAGCTGGATCTTGGCTGAAAGCAGAGAATACCAGAGGAATGTCTATCTGTGTTTCATTGACTATGCAAAGGCATTTGACTGTGTAGATCATAACAAACTGTGGCTGACTCTGAGAAGAATGGGAATCCCAGAACACTTGATCGTTCTAATGCGAAACTTATACTTGGACCAGGAGGAAGTCATCAGAACAGAGCAAGGGAGCACTGCATGGTTCAAAATTGGGAAGGGCGTACGCCAGGGATGCATCCTATCTCCATACCTTTTCAACCTATATGCTGAACAGATTATCCGGGAGGCGGGGCTTTATGAGAAGAAAAGTGGGGTCAAGATTGGTGGACGATTTATCAACAATCTGCGTTAATGCAGATGACACAACCCTGCTTGCTGAAACTGAGGAGGACCTGAAGTGCCTGCTGCAGAATGTCAAGGACTGCAGCCTACAATATGGATTGAGGCTCAATGTCAAGAAGACAAAGAATCTCACCACTGGACCAACTGGCAGCATCAGGATGGATGGTGAAGAGATTGAGATTGTACACAGCTTTAGTTTGCGTGGCTCCATAGTCAACAGTCTTGGCACCAGCAGCCAGGAAATTAAAAGGCGCATTGCCATGGGAAAGTCTGCTGTTAGGGACCTCTCCAAAGTGCTGAAGAGCAATGGTATCTCTTTGGAGACTAAGGTGCGTCTGATACAGGCCATGGTCTTCGCAATCACCTGTTATGCATCAGAGAGTTGGACAATGACCAAGGAGGATAGAAGGAGAATTGATGCCTTTGAGCTGTGGTGCTGGAGAAGAGTATTGAGAATACCATGGACTGCTAGGAAAACAAACAGATTTGTCCTGGAAAGGGTTAAACCGGGTGGCTCCTTGGAGGCAAGGATTCTGAGGCTCCGTCTAACATACTTTGGACATGTTGTGAGGAGAGACTGGTCCTTGGAGAGGGACACCATGCTTGGGAGGGTGGAGGGACAGCGTAGGAGAGGAAGGCCCTCTATGAGGTGGATTGATTCAGGGACTGGGATAATTGGGATGGGAGTGTCAGAGACAGTGCGATTGGCACAGGACAGAGTGGAGTTTAGGGTTGTTGTACATAGGGTCTCTATGAGTCGCAGGCGACTCGACGGCACCTAACAACAACAACAAGTTTATCAGCTGCCCTCTTCCCTTAATGTGCAAAGTCTGCGTGGGGTGTCTTAGATGCCTTCATGCCTGTAATAGCCTAATACCACAATTCCTGCAATTCCCTAATTTTACCTAAAATAGCTTTAATTCATAAAAGCAGGTTTCAGAGGCTGCAAATCATGAGAGGAGATTGCCTGTCTTTCTCCCATGGAGCTGCTGGTGCATTCGAACCTCTATAGAGGCACCACCTCTCAGTTAGCATAGCAAGTCCCTACTGACAGTGGCACCTGAGCTCTCTTCATAAAAGGATAATGAAATTACTAATACTAATGAAGAAAGTGTTTCTTACCTGGTAAGAATCATATATGGCAGGAACTATTAAATAAGGAACAAAGAGTGTAGAGAAACTGATAACAACAATTTTCAGAAATGTTGATAGACTTATTATTGCACCTTCAAATTTACCATGTAGTTAAGTTTACTCAATTTAGAATAAAAAGTGTTTTCCTGTAAGAAATCAGCACTAGAAAAAAAAATTCCTTTAAAGACTTAATTGTTGTCATCAAAATACTGACAAGTTTAGGGTTTTTTTTTATTATTATTAAATTTTATTAGTTTTAATGAACATTTACAGGGATTTTGGGTTTTCATTCCTTCATTGCTGCACCATTCTCTCTACCCTCCTCCCCAGTTTGTAAGTTTAGGGTTTTTAATTAAAAATTTCACTCGTGTTTCTCTCTTGTACTTCTATTTGGCGATGCACTGCAAATATATGTGAGATTTTGTAAAAGTATGAAGAAATTCAACTGCTGTAAGTTTAAAGTGGAAAGTTGCTTTTCTAATCTGAAGATACATTCTTGCACCTTTGGAAAAATAAGTTACATCAAGCTTAACCCAAAGAAAACAAATTTAGGGGAAGAGCCATTGCATGCCAACCTGTGCACTTGGATTTGGCATAGACTGATGTTGGATTGATTTTAGGGTGCCCCAGAAGGCCTTTCTGGACAGGTTTCCTGGACCTGACAGAACACACAGTGGTCACAGCTCAGTGACTATTTAAACAAGGATTTCCCCAAGATATTTTTTGTTAAACAAATTCTAATACATCCTCTCCTGTATGCTAGCAATTGAGAACAGTCATGCATGGAATACTATGGACTTATCTGAGAGAAGGAAACACCCCACCTGCCCCTAACAGCACGCTGGAAGCTGGAATCATGTGGCTGAGGGTTAGACTGTGAGCCGAGAAGGCATTCTTTATTAATTCTAACGTTCACTTTATTTATCACTAGAATAATACTGCAGAGAAATTTGTCTCACTCTGTGGTGACTAAGGATCTCTTTTATTGCATATTGCAGTGCTACCTAAAAGGTCAGCTGTTCAAATCTACCAGCTACACCACTGGGAGAAAGAAAGATAGTCTCTTATAAAGATTATAAGATGGGTCTTAAAAACCCCATCAAGGGACTGTAAGTTGGAATCAACTCCAAGGCAGTGGTTGGTTGGTTTTGTTGTGTTTGGGTTTTTAGGGGGTGGGGGTTGTCTATGGTTTTTTTGTGTTTCTTTGTTGTTGTTGTTTGGTTGGGGTTGGGTTGTTTGTTTTTATTTTTTTTTGTAATATGGTAACTAATTTCCTTTTTTTCAAGTTACATTTCACTTCTAATTAATGATTTTTATTTATTTCTTTTTTGTTGTTCCATGCTGTAGATTTGCCTGGGACTCATAATGACCCTATGTACAACAGCTCTGAAGTCTGTACTGTCTTGAGCCAGTCTCACTGACTCCAACACCCTATAGGGAGCTTCAATGATTGAGATTTTTCATTGTTTCATGAGGATTAACTCAATTTCTTCCCACTCCACAATAGAGACGATGATAAAGAAGCTAGGTAATATGGTACTTTATACTATCATATTCTTGCTTTTAATTATCTTAATTATAATATGATGCAGGTATTGTCATTCTCATGTTGCAGATGAGGAAACAGAATTAAATTTAGTAACATACTAAGAGAGGCACATTTGGGTTCTTACCTTTTTGGTTCATCTGGAGATTTTTTCCCTTTGTTTTCTTTTGACAGCAAAAACTTAGGCTTCCAAGCTTTTAGTTTACTTTCTTCTCTGAGGAGAAAAATATTTTAAGAAATCACATTAAGATTGAATTACAGAATTACCCAAAATACATGTTTGTGTGTATTTTTAAAAAGAAAACAATATTTACAAATATATTTTGATAGTGTACTACAAGAACCAGATGACAACTACTTAAGGTTTTGCAGGTAATAATGTCTAAATCTCAACTACTTAATTCTACTGTTGTAAAGCAATCACTATGTAAACAGATGATTATGATTATTTTGTGAAGTTTTATTTTAAAAAACATAGTGTACACAATTTGAACCATTTGACTAACATTGAATAAAGATGTACCCTAGGAAAGGCTTTTAAGAAGTTTTCTGAGACTTGTCTAACTACCCTTTTTTTTTTCTTCTTCTTCTAACTACCTTTCATCCCTCTTTTTTTGTCACGTCTATAAAACCTTTAGCGAGCTCTGGTGGATTAGTGGTAAGAAGTTGAGCTGCTAATCCAAAGGTACTTGGTTTGAATCCATCAGCTGCTTTATGGGAGAAAGATAGGCAATCTCCTCTGATGCCGTTTATAACCTCTGAAAATCCTCTAAAAGCTGGTTCTGACTCAATGGAAACTTGTTGTTGTTATGTGCCATCAAGTCACCTGCAACTCATAGCGACCCTATGTACAACAGTTCTATATATCCTCTGCCAATCTTACTGTCTCTGACACACCTTACCCCATCACCCCACTCACTGAATCAATCCATCTCATAGAGGGTCTTCCTCTTCTGTGCTGTCCCTCCACTCTCCTAAGTATGATGTCCCTCTCCGAGGACTGGTCCCTCCTTGCAGCATGTCCAAAGTATGTCAGATGAAGCTTCAGAACCCTTGCCTTCAAGGAGCAGCTTGGTTTTACCCTCTCTAGGATAAACTTGTTTGTTCTCCTAGCTGTCTGTGGTATATTCAGTACTCTTTTCCAGCACCACAGCTCAAAGGTATCAATTCTTCTTCTGTCATCCTTGGTCACTGTCCAACTCTCTGATGCATAGTAAGTAATTGGAAAGACTATATATATAGCCTGTATCAGATGACTTTGGAACCACAGTGTGCTGCAAATGGAAGAGAAGAAGCTCCAAGCCAAAAGAAGTCGATTCAGGAGCAGAAATTCAAGTGAAAGGACTTTTCCTCAGAACTGTCTGAGATGGGAAGCCTTCCCTAGCATTGTTGTTGTTGATGATTGCTTTCAAGTCAAGCACAACTCATAGCGACCCTATGAACAAAAGGCCTGAAGCCCCTCTCCCTAACATTAGTACCCCGTATTTAGACTTACAGACTCCTAAACTCAGGCCACAGCATACAAAAACTGGCAGCAGCTTGAGGCATTGAGAGTCACAGAAGCCCAGAAAGCTTGAAACATAAGCAATCAAATCAAGGGCTGGATTGTGGGAGATTGGTGTTGAAGGGAGTAGATGGGAATAGAAGGGAATGACGGTGGAACAGGGAAATGGGTGGGTCAAGTCACACATGTCAAGGGTGGGGACGACACTGAAACTATTGGTTATTTCTACAATTGGGGAAATATCTTTCATCTACATTTTCCCATAAAACTGTTTAAAAGGGATATGTGAGTAGGCATTTTTGTCATGGCAGGGGTTCAGAGCGAAGGCTGCATAGTGGAGTGGACCTGGGGGGGGGGGTTGTAAAACAATGAAAGAATTTTTCTTTTACTTTTCCAAGAGGGTAATATACTAGGGGGGAAGGTGGGGAGGGGAGAAAAGTGCAACAATGAATGAACGGAAACCCAAAAATCTCTAAATTTTCATTGAAATTAATAATAAAGATTTTAAAAAAGAAATTATATGCAATTAATAAAAGGGTCTCAAAATAAATAAAGCAAAACTGACTGACATTCTGGGTGAAACAGGCAAAAATAACCTTTGGGATATTTCAGTTTATTTCACTCAATTATTTGACACTTTCTTACAAATTTTTGCATTGGTACAACTAAGGGTTGCTTCTCCCTTCTAAGTAGATGTCTTAGAAGATTCTTGTGCATGTTCATAGGTCAGTAAGGCTTTTTACTCAGTTATCCACATATAAAAAAAAATTGGAAACCACCTCAATGCTGATCAACAGGAGAAAGGCAACATGGTGTGGACATCCAGTGAGATAGAATAATCAAGATGAATAAACGGGATGTTTTCTTTCTTTCTTTCTTTCTTTTTTTTTGGTACCAAAGCATTGTGAAGATTAAATTAGTAAAATGCAGCAAGGACTTAGGACGGTACCTAGCATAGGATAAGGTCTTGGTAGACTGGTACTGTGATTAATGTCTCCAGAGAGTTCAGGTGGTTGGGTTCAGAATGACTAACAGCTTAGTTGGCCCCTGCTCTCTAAGGCAGCCAGGAGGCCCTGGAAGGCCATGTCTGGCCGAGAAGCCATCGGATGTCGGATGGGCCTGTGGTGGTGGTGGGCAGGATAGGGAGCCTGTTAGTTCACACAGGTGGCACACGCCATGCCATGCTGCACTCCAAGCTAGTGTCACCTACTGCGCTAGTCACTCTCTGGCCGGTACAGGTACCGCATCATCAGGCTGTCCACCTCTTTTTTGCGCTTCTTCTCTTCCTTCTTGGAGTGCCGGTGCGCCTCCCCAGCCCCCTCACTTTCTGTGGTGGGGCCCTTCTTCACGCTGGAGCGGCTGTGGCTTGAGACGGTGGAGCCACTGGATGAGGACGACGACGACGATTCGGACTCGGTCTCTGTTCTCTTTCTTCTTGATTTAGACTTCTTCTTGCTCTTTCGAGAGCGTCCCTTCTTCCTCCGCCTGTGCCCAGAGAAATCTTCGGAGCTGGAGCTGGAGCTGGAGCTGGAGCTGCTGC